GGGGGGGAGAGAGGGATGGGCAAGAAGAAGAAGAGGAAGAAGAAGAGGAGGAAGAAGAAGAAGGGGGCAGCTCCATCGACGCACATTCTGGTGGGCCGGGTTCGACTCGATCGAGTGCTTAAACTGGTTGAAGACGTAGCAAATGGAGGAAAGCTCGCGGTTCGGGTCGTAAGCAGTGATGATGTTGGAGTACGACTGGATTTGGGTGTAGAACTCCGGCGAGCCGGCAGTCAAGGTCTCGCTCTTGGGCTGGTGCAGGAAACCATCGGAGACAGACTGCAAAAGAGGGCGTGGCAATCATCGGAGAGAGAGAGAGAGAGAGAGAGAGAGAGAGAGAAGGAGGGGGGACAAAATGAAGGAGCAATAATCTGTCAGCGGGTGGCGCCTCTCCCAGGGGGCAAGTTGCATATCACCCGCGAGCTGTCCTGCGCGCCCCGGGCCACGAAGAAGTGAATGGCGAAAACGCACCGAGATCCGGACCAGGAAGGAGCGCATCACATCGTGGCTCTCGTTGATGAAGGAGGCCACCTCTGGCACCGAGGAGAGATCCTTGAGGGACTTGTCCGGGACCAGGTTGGCCACATTCTGCACAACCTTGGCAATGAGCATGAGCGCCCGAGTGGCACGGTCGTCAGGCTGCTCGGTCACAAGGCCAAAGCTGCGCGGTGACAGCAGGGCCGGACAAAGGAGACGCAGGAAGACGAAGCCCCTGGAAGGATGGAAAGTGCCAGGACGAGGATGCGAACAGTGCAAAGGCCCCGAGAGGCAGGGCAAGCAGGAGCGAGGTGAGGGATAGTGATGAGTATGTGTGGGAAAGAGAGGGAAAGAAAGAAAAGGGCTGTTTGGCAGGGGGACGCGCGTACCCAACGCAGGTGTAGTGAGCCTTCGCATCGTTCGGGAAACGAGACATGACCGAGCTGCGGATGCGCGACAGGATGTACGATAGGTCGGCCGGGAACTGGTCCAAGTTGGTGGATGCCAAGTCAAGAAGGTTTTTGCAGGCGGTCACCAGGCGTCGGGCATTCTTGCGGAGCTCCTCGATGTCATCGACACGCGAGTTGTCCACCTGGGCGAAGGAAAGGGGCGGTAACGTGTCAGAATGGAAACAGGAAAGAGCCCCAAAAGCCCTGGGGAGGATCCGGGCGTGTGGATCCTTGTAAATATGTGTGCGGGAGGGAGAGAGGAGGGGGGTGTACGTGAACGCACCTCGTAGCTGAGTCGGGTGGATTGGATCGACCGAATCACCGGGCCAAGAACCGAAGCCACGTATCCGGTTGACAGAAGACGCAGATACTGCTCGGTCATCTTGGAGGCGATGGTATTGCTGCGGAAGAGGGTGGAGGTGTTTTCTGCACATCCGTGTGTGTGTGTGTGTGTGTGTGTGCGTGTGTGTGTATGCGTGCGCATCCGGAGGAGCAGGTCAGTGCCGACTCGAGAACAGGGAACGAGAGAAAAAGGGACGGATAGGCGGAGGGAGGAAACAGGGACAAAAGGGAAAGCTGATTGGCGCACCCGACGTGGCGATCTCATAATCGTTAATGTACTGGATTCGCTCGTTGGCCACGCCGCGCACGGTCCAGTGGCGGACAATCAGCCGAGTAAACCGGTCGCGATCAATTCCATTCTCCTCCAGCAGGGCACGGATCGGGAAGTAGGAGGAGGGACTGGCGATGGCGCGATCAAACTTGAAGGACATGTTCACGGGCATGACGATCTCCGGCTGGGAAAATGGGGTCAATTCTCGGTCAGTCTCTGATCATTGGAGAGGGGGAGAGAGGGGGAGAGAGAGGGAGAGAGAGGGAGGGACAGAGAGGGAGAGAGAGGGAGAGAGAGGGAGAGAGGGGGAGAGAGAGGGAGAGAGAGAGAGGGAGAGAGGGGGAGAGAGAGGGAGGGAGGGAGAGCGCGGCACTCGGGGCACAAGATATGCCCCAGCAGGAAGCGTGCGTCTGTGTGATGTGGATGGACGGCTTTTTGCGTGGGGGTTGTTTTCTTCGAAATCGAAAGGGACCAAGCCATCCCATGTGTACCTGAAGCTCGAAGCGCAGCCGGACAGCAAAGCCGGCAGTCTGACCACCCTGGAGCTCGGCCAGGGAATTCACCGCAGAACCGATGAGACCGGACTGGATGCCATGCTCCGGGCTGCCGGTCAGCGGGAACCAGAACTCCGCCGGGTCAATCTGGGAGGTTGGCACGCCATCAGCGTTCTCCTGGACGCCAGAAACCGCCATGATCACGGCCCGCGGGATGATGACCTGACCAATGCACACATCCTGCGCGCGGCTGGTCAGACTCGACAGACTTGTCAAGCCGGAAGCGAACACGCGCACTGTGACTGAGCGGAAGTGGGGAATATCCCTGGTTTGAACGGGGAGGAGGGAGGGGGGAATGGTAGGAGTGTGAGAGAGACAATCCATGAGAAGCCATGAAAGAGAGAGAGAGAGAGAGAGAAAGAAAGAAAGAAAGAAGGGCCAATACACAGGGTAAAGGGGTGAAATGCGAGAGGCAGAGAGGACCACGACGCTCTTCCGATCTAAAGAAAGAAAGAAGGGCCAATACACAGGGTAAAGGGGTGAAATGCGAGAGGCAGAGAGGACTGGCAAAGAGAGAAAAAGGGACGCACTCCAAGGAGAAGGCCTCATTCCAAAGGGGGCGCCCGCTTTCCGCCCCAGGAGAATACCCACTGACCGACTGGGTGATGGCCTCGGGGAGGGTGGAGTCATCGAAGCTAAGGACGCAGTGGTAGTTGAGGTTCGACGACCGGAGCAGCGAGGAGGACAAATCCGAAGCGATGGGCAGTCCACGAGCCTCGGTCAACCGAACCAACAGGAGATCGGAAGAGCACACGTTCATTCCAAAGGGGGCGCCCGCTTTCCGCCCCAGGAGAATACCCACTGACCGACTGGGTGATGGCCTCGGGGAGGGTGGAGTCATCGAAGCTAAGGACGCAGTGGTAGTTGAGGTTCGACGACCGGAGCAGCGAGGAGGACAAATCCGAAGCGATGGGCAGTCCACGAGCCTCGGTCAACCGAACCAACAGGCGATCACACAGCCGAGGGAAAAGGTGGAAGTCTATGGAGCAGTGCGGCGGCGATATGGATGTGTGTGTGTGGGGGGGGGGTGCAAAAAGAGGTTAGCCGCCTGTCGGTGGGATTGCACAGCATCCGGAGTCCGGAGGATGCTGAGTGGAGGGCCGCAGCAGAAGGAGTCCCATTGTACGCACTGACAGAGTCGATGTTCTTGGCCACCGACTTGAGACAGTGGATCCAGTTGAATGCATCGATGATATCCTCGCTGGCGAAGAAGAGAGAGCGCCCCTTCTGTGCGGAGCCGCGTGTCAGAGGAGAGGCAGACCCCGAGTTCGCCAGCGATTCGGTGGAGCCACTTTCCATGTCATTGTCATCCTGGACTCGAGCGAGGGCGACATTGGGAGACGCTGGCCAGTCGATGCAGAAAACATTCCGCCGGCCGTAGGCCGACTCATGAATGGGCCGAACGCAGGCATTAAACAGGTGGAAGGTGAACTTCGGCCGGGAGGACTGGATGTGTGCGCGTGCGCGCGTGTGTGTGTGTGTGTGTGTGTGTGTGAGAAGAGGCATACAAACAAAGGGGAGATGAAGGGGAGGGTTAGATGGCGTGCAACCCCCTCAAAGGGGGTGACGAGGAACAACAAGAGAAGCAGGAAGCAGAAAAGCCGCGACAATGGCAATCAAGAAAACGCACGCTCTCGGACTCGAAGATGTATGCCAACTGCGTGGAGGCCATGAGCACAAAGTAAACGGAGCGCCAACCACCAGGGGCTGAGAGAAGGGCATCATAGGAGCGCGTGCAGGGGAGCAGATCGGCCAGCATATGAGTCAAACGGGACAAAGCACAGGTCGATGGATGGAGGGGTGGTGGCGGGCAAGGAGCCAGGCAAGAGATGTGGGGAAGGGAAAGAAGAAGAAGAAGAAGAAGAAGAAGAAGAGGAGGAGGAGGAGGAGGAGGAGGAGGACAATTGTAGGCCACATACTCAGATACTGCAGACGCCCTTGGCGGAGGCTCTGCGTGAGGGAAGCAACAGAGGTGCGCAGAGTATTGTCGGAACTAGCATGCTCGGCCACGAAGGAGGCAATCTCCTCATCCTCGGAGTAGGCCCGCAGGGCCGAGTCCATGTTGGCCTGGTAGGTCATCAGTGTCGGCAAGAGCTCATGCTCAATCCTCAGGGCGGCCTGCATCTTCATCAGGGTGAACTCGATGCGATTGCGCTCCCAGCCTTCGAAGCGCTCCAGCAGCCCGGGCATCAGGTCCTCATAGTGGCTGGTTTGGCGCTCGTCGCACGTGCGCTTGGCCAGCTCCAGGGTGCTCTCCGAGAGGCGAAGCTTCTCCCGGAGCTGCTGCGTTTTGGTGGCAATCTTCGAGGGGTTGTCCCGGCGGATGACATCGATCCAGCTCCCGCCGCCAGTGCTGGAGAAGTGAGCCTGGCCATCTGGGCCGTCGGTGCCGGATCCGCCAGTGCCGGACCCAGCCGTGGTGCCTGGCGGGAGACTCTGTCCATCCAGGGCCTCCAACTCGCGCGACAGTTTGTCATGGGCATCCTGCGCGCGTTTCAAATCGGAAAAGGCCTCTTGCAGGAAGGAGTTATACTTCTTGCCCTGGTTGACGAGCTGCGCGGCCCAGTGGGTTAGCACAGGGGGGAGGGGTGGGAGGGGAGGACGACAAAAGGGTAAATGAACGATGTAGACGCAAATGGGGCGGCGGAGAGACGAAAAGGGACGTACGCTCTTGCGCATGCTGTCGAGTTCACGAATGAAGGGGGTGAAGGGATCGACAACGAAGTTGCTCATGCGGGTGCACATTTTTTTCTGCGGGGGGGGGGGGGAGCAGACACGGAGCAGGTGTCAGTTGTGTTGATGTCGTCGCAGAAGACAGGGAGAGGCTGCCAAGCGGGGCAGGGGCGGGGACGGGGGCGGGGGCGGGGGCGAGGACGTACATGGGAGTCGGTGACCTCGGCCATTTGGGTCATGGAATAGAGGAAGGTGTCGAACAGATCGGACTTAGCCAGGGAGGGGAAGCGCTTGCGCACATCGCCAACCGTCTGCGAGAGCTTGTACATCGATTTGCTGGTGTTGTCCGTTTTGGCTTGGAGTCAGCATCCGGGAGGCAGGCTCCGATGGCTGGGAGGTGGAGGGAGGAGGGGCAGGAGCATGCAGGAGAGAGCGGGAGAGGACAGCGGAGCGTCCGGAAGGGGCGAGGGAGGAGGGGGCCAGCAGAGGACAGATGCACACCTGTATTCCTCCTCGATGGCCAGGCGGCGTTTGAAGAAGGCGACAACCTCCTTGGTGAACTCGAGGGTATCAGCTGTGTGGTTGGACACCACATCGAAGCGGTTCTGCGCAGCATGGATGTGCACGTGGGCGTATGAGTGGAGGCCGGTTAGCGGAGCAACACGCGGAAGGTGGACCACCCGGCGGAGAACGAAGAGGAGGGGAGGGGAGTGGGAGGCGGCAAAGATCTGGCCGGGGGGAGGGGCACCGGGATCAGGACGAACCGTGAGGGATTGGGCGAAACTCATGACCGGATGTAGGAGGGGGCGCGAATGGCGCCCGGGCGATCGCACAGCCCGTTGGAGGAGGAGGAGGAGGGACCGGCGGGGGGAGGGAGGAGGCGCGGCAGAGGCGAGGAGGGGGGAGGGAGGGAGGGAAGTAGACCAGGCGTGCCGGGACGTGACCGAAACGCAGCTGGTGAGGGTGGGGATGAGAGGTGGGCTGGTCGGGAAGTGGCGCGGCCCGTGCTCTGCCTCCAGTGGGAAGAGACGGAGGAAAGGGCAGAGGGGGGGGGGGGAGGAAAGTCGAGAGGGGGAGCGAGAGAAAGAGAGAGAGAGACGGGGGGAGGGAGAAGGGTGGGGAGGAGGGGGAAGTGAACAGATGGGGGAGGAACAAGATGCCGTGCCGGGATGGCCCGGATGGCTCAACAGGCACGGAGTTGAATCTGGTGCTGGGTCGGGGGGCCGACGGACCACACACCGGGGGGGCGACAAGGGAGGGGGGGGGTAGTCGGCAGAGGCTGCAGGCGCCTCTGACCAGAGGGCGCGGGATCCGGCGCCCCCGGGCGGGCCAACTCCCCCCGGCGGCATCCCGGGGGAATGTCTCGACGATCTGTGGTACCCGGAGGGGTGGGAAGAGCGGGGGGGGGGGGGGGTAGCACAGGTCTGGGTGCCTCCTGCTGCGTCCAGGCCCGGCGGGAGAGGCCTCCGCCGGCCACCGCCCCCTTTGGCATTCCCTCCCGGGCCCCCTCCCCCGGCCGGGGACACAGTGGTAGGGTGCGCGTGCGTGCGGACGCGCGGGGCTGGCCGGCGCACAGCGGCACATTCGAAAGGCCGACTGTGCCAGCAACCCACACCTGCGGGCGGTCTGAAACCAGCTGCAAAAGTGGGCTCGCACCCTGGCAGCCCATGGAGTGGGGAAATTCCCCCGGGCCCGGGTGCGAGACAACAAGGTGCCAGGCCCCGTTTCACCGGGCCCGCCTCTCCCCTCCGGGCCAGGGGAAGGGCCGAGATCGCGCGCCCATCCGACCGGCCGGCCGGGGTGCGGGAGCGCGTTGCGCGAGTGGGTGTATCGGGGCATCTGTGTTTGCCCCTGACCGAAGGGCGCACGAGACCGAGCAGCGATTTCCCCCGCCCCCCCCCCCTGCCCCTGCAGGCCCTCGACCCGCGGGAGGTGGGCTGCGGGCGTATGAGCGTCTGGGCACAGGTCCGCGCACCAGACCAGCTGGAGGCGGAGATCTCCCCTCCGGGGAAGCGGGGGGGAAAGGGGGGAGGGAGACGGCCCGACGCAAAGAACCCCTGGTGCGGTGCGGAAGCGTGGCCAAGGACGCGCGCGGTTGGACCGGGCCCACATGAATAAAGGGACGAACGAATGGGTATGAGCTGACGAGGGGCGTCGCTCCATCGGCAGTCCGTGGCCGTCCTTCGAGCATCGAGGGCAGCGGGTGCGGGGGGCGGGGGGCGCGCCTGAGACGGCGCCAGCGGTATCTGCCTGCCGCCCGCCCCCCCCCCCCCCCCCCCCCCCCCCCCCCCCCCCCC